ACTGGCGGCTCATGACTGTAACCTTAGCTACCCAGGAGGCTGAGATCATAAGATCACAGTTCAGGGCTGGGAAGGTGGCTCAGTGGCAGAGTGTTTTGCTTTGCATGCATGAAGCCCTGGGTTTGAGTCCTCAACACCACATAAGCAGAAAAAGCTGGAAGTAGCGCTATGGCTCAAGTGGCAGAGCACTGGCCTTGAGCTGAAGAGCTCAGGGAAAGCGCCCAGGCCCAGAGTTCAAGCTCCACGAAAAAAAAAGGTAGACAAAGCCGGGCGCTGGTGGCTCACGCCTGTAATCCTAGCTACTCAGGAGGCTGAGATCTGAGGATCGCGGTTCAAAGCCAGCCTGGGCAGGAGAGACCGTGAGACTCTTATCTCCAATAAACCACCAGAAAACCAGAAGTGGCACGGTAGCTCAAGTGGTAGAGCACTCGCCTTGAGCTGAAGAGCTGAGGGACAGCGCCCAGGCCCAGAGTTCAAGCCCCACGACCGACCAAAAAAAATTTAAAAAAAAAAAAAAAAGGTAGACAAGTCCATAAGATCACAGTTCAAAGCTAGACCAAGCAGGAAAGTCCATGAGACTCTTGACTCCAATTAACTATCAAAAAGGCAGAAGTGGAGCTATGGTTCAAACGGTAGAGTACTAGCTTTGAGAAAAAAGAAAATTCAAGGAGAGCACATAGGCCATGAGTTCAAGCCCCAGGACTGGCACAAAGAAAAAGAATTCTAAAAAGTAGGTCCCAGTGGGAAGCCACAGGAGGCCTCATCCTCAGAGATTAAAGTTGTTAGAAAACCTGCATCTGTCCCTGTCCAGATTCTCCTGGCTTCCTGGCTTCCTGGCTGAGATATGATCCCTCCCTTCCTCTATCCCCTTCTCTCCCCTCTCCCCTTCTCCCTCCCTCCCTTCTCATCATCTATGGAGATTGATACAGCAGAAAAACCCTGGCCAGGCTGAGCCCATGCCAACACCATATCCTGAAAAGCCCCAAGACTGTAAGTCAAACAAATCACTTTTCCTGATAAGGTTAGGTTGCATCAGGCACTTCCATCACAGAACCAAAAATTGACCAATGTAGTCTTGGCCTAGAACTGAGGCCTCCAACTGCAGAAGGCATTCAGCAACCTCGAGTACAGCCCTGCGCCCTTACATCTCCCTCTGCCCCTCCCTCCGTTACCTGTCATGTTTCTTCGTTGACTCCGAGCTGCCCACATGGTCTAGACACGGGGCTGAGTGCTAGAGGCTCAATGGTGGACAAACCACAGCCACTACCTGGCACTCAGGGCCATAGAGGTGGCTGGGAGGCAGACATGTGCTGCATGTCTGGGGGGCCAGGGAGATGCATAGCTGCTGGGATCCTGTCTGTACTTGTGCAGCTGGCATGCGGGGCTGCGGTGTGGACCCTGTTCAGTGTGCAAAACTGACTGCAAAGAATGCTGGGCATGCCGGGCACCAGTAGCTCACGCTTGTACTCCTAGCTACTGAGATATAAAGATTGTGATTCGAAGTCAGCCTAGGCAGGAAAATCTGTGAGACTCTTATCTCCAATAAATCACAAAAAGCTGGAAGTGGAGCTGTGACTCAGGTGGTAGAGAACTAGCCTTGAGCACAAAAGCTCAGGGACAACAGCCAGGCCCAGAGTTCAAGCCCCAGGACCAGCAAAAATCCTTTGCTCACACATGGGTATGAGGGAACAGAGAGGATGTGGATCACATGGCCAAATCATGTAGTGTGGTAACCAGAAGAAGGGCTGAAACAACTCTGGGGGTTTGCAGGGGTGTGGAGGTCTGAGGCTGGGGAAAGACCATACATCTGAAGAAGCACGTGTGGAGATTTTCATTTATGGAGCAGTTGTCACATGCCAGGTTTGGGGCCACACATGCTCTAGGATCATGTCTTTGAGGCCCCCTTTTCGTGGGGTGGTTCTGGGATTTGAACTCCAGGCCTTAGATTTGCTAGGCAGATATTCTATCACTGAGCCATGCCCCTATCCAAGGACTATGTCTTTAAATCCTTGTAACTTTCTCTCTCCTCCGCTGCTTGGGATTGAGCCTAGGGCATGCAAGACATGCGCTCTGTACTGAGCCTTTTGTGTAAGTAGGAGAGCCTGATATTATGACCATTATACAGTCACTTCTCTGTGACTTGCCTAAAGACACACAGCTGGTGTGTCTCTGAGGCAGGATTTGAACTTGGGTCTACCCTGCAGAGGCTGCCTTTTCTTCTAGCTTTCCTTAATTAGAAGGCCCTCAGGCCTGCATCCGAGGAAGGGACAGAACTTCCTACACAACAGACCACCTGTAGACACATGCATCTGGAGCACTCAGAGAAGAGAAGCCTGTGCAAAGTCATGGAGATAGATGTCAAGGTGGAAGAGCCGGGAAGCTTCCAGACTGTGGCCTTTCTGTTATCCTTCCAGAGGTCCAAAGGCTACAGCCTCCACCTGCCCTTGGTTCTCTGCAGTTCCTTCATCCATGGGGGTCTCCAGACAAGGCCCAGGTGTAGCCTGCTGAGCAAGGGCATCAGTCAGCCCTGCCACCTCTCCTGCCCAAGAAGGGAATCTTTAAATGGTGTCAAGTTCATTGTGTTTGTGGTAGAAAGGGGGTGGGGTGGAGGAGGGCAGAAAAAGAAGGTATGAATGCAAGGAAGCCTGGACCAGCTCCTGCTTAGTTCCCATCTGGCTGAGTCAGCGGCACAGAGGCTGCCCTGGCCCACAGCGGGATGGCCGGAAACTGCAGATCTGCTGGAATGATCCTCCCCTGTGCGGCTGCTAGGGAGGGAGGGGGAGGGGGAGGGCAGGAGAGGAGATAGGCCGAGGGCAAGGCCGCCACTCCTTTTGGATGCTTGAGAGCCGCTGTCTCTCTCCCCACGCCCACCCCACTTCTTGCCCAGCATTGAAAGGCCACTTGTTTCCAACTTGCAGGGTACTCAACAGTCTAGAAAGCACTTATAAAATGCTCCATGTTCCCCAAGTGATTTATGATTTTTGAAGTGCCTTTTGGAATATAGATAGATAGATATAAGCTAATCCACAATCACCTCCCCATTGCAGCGACATTCACAAAAGGCTTTGCAAGAACAATTATAGTGTGCAACGTCCTCTGCAGCCAAAAGGTGTTTTGTGTCTCCAGAGAAGACTTCAGAGTGCTCACAACGCCCCCGCCTGCTTGCCTCATTTCAGCCACAGAGTGGCTCTGGAGAGCACGGTCAGTGGGTCTGTCTGTCTGGTCTCACACAGCATTTGCAGTGTGCCTCACCCTCTAGCAAGCATTTAGCGTGTGGACACATCTCCCTGGCTCTCCAGCCTTGCGAGGTTGGTAGGATCGCAATTCTCCAGTTACAAATCAGGACTTGGAGGGGGCGGGAGAGGGGGGAATGTAGCTGTGGAGGTGGGAGGGAAGGGATGGTAGCGGAAAAACAAAGGAGGAGGCAACAATGCTTGATAAGAAATGTACTCATTACCTTGCTCCTTGTACAATATTTTCACAATAAAATGAAAGACCCCAGACGCTCCTCCCGAAGCCCCTATTGAGCCCAGCAAAAGATTAAAAATTAAAGTTAAAATTATTATATTATACAATTGCTAACTGCTGGTTTTGCTTCTGTAAACTTGCTTGCGCTAACACTAACCCTTCCCCTCCCTGGAGATAAGTGCAGGCCGCTAACCAGGAAACGAAACCTCGAGCCTCTGAGTCACCGCCGGCAGACCCTAGCATGACCCTAGTACATGCCTTAAAACCAGGCATTCCGGTAAAAAAAAAGCCGACCACCACATTCCTTCCCGTAAAACTCAGCCTTAATGTTAGGGTGAGGCAGGATGTAGTAAATCACTTGTCAAAATCAGGGAACGAACAGTTTCGGTGCATAACGACCCGCACGGACTTGTCCGGGCAAGTACCAACACGTCAGCCTTCCCCCAACCCCACCTACCCCATCTGGCTAGCTTAACCTGACCAATCCCCACCCTGAACGTAATTTGAAATTAACCAATCATCCCCCTGTAACCACGCATCTCGCTTCTGTAACCTCGCCTCTGCTGTCCATAAAAAGAGGGTGCTTTCAAGCACTCGGCGCGCAAGTCTCCCGATAGGCTTTGTCGCCCCGGGTACCCGTGTAACCGGTTCTCAGACACTCAACCCGAACCTTGTGGATCTCGAGGTTGAGTGCACCTGGGAGCCGAGGGCTTGCCCGAATAAACCTCTTGCTGTTTGCATCCGCACAAGTGGTCTCGTTGTTCCTTGGGGAAGGGTCTCTTCAGATTGAAGGACACCCCACGCCGCCGGGGGTCTTTCATCTGGGGGCTCGTCCGGGATAGAGACCCCCACCCAGGGACCACCGACCCATTTTCGGGAGGTAAGCTGGCCAGCATCTGTGTGTCGTCTGTGTGCTGTCTGTAAGCTGTCTGAAGTCTTGTGTGGCCAATTTCTGTGCGCTTGCGAATCTGGTGAGTTCGGCCGTACTCGTCCGTATCTGGCGGGCCCGTGGAGGAGCTGACGAGCTCGTACTCCCGACCGCAACCCCCAGGAGACGTCTTGGGGGTGTCCGGAGCCTGAAACAGTGGCTCGTCCGGAGCCTGAAACAGTGGCTCATCCGGAGCCTGAAACAGTGGCTCATCCGAGGGCCTGAAAAAGTGGCCCATCTGAAACCCGGTCCCCTCGGACGCGTGGTTCATCAGAGGAGACGAGAGATCCGGACTCTCAATAAAGTCTCCATCAGGTTGTTTTCTGTTTGAGAACAAAGACGCGCAGCGAAGTTACGTATTGTCTGTCTTGTGTTTGTGTTCGCTAAAAGTTTTTATAAAATGGGACAAACTGTCGCGACCCCGCTTAACCTTACTTTACAGAACTGGAGAGATGTGCAAACAGCGGCTCACAATCTTTCAGTAGAAGTTAAGAAAAGAAAATGGATAACTTTCTGTTCATCAGAGTGGCCCACTTTCAACTGTGGCTGGCCACGAGAAGGAACCTTTAACCTAACCATTGCCTTACAGGTTAAGGCCAAAGTCATGGATCCGGGACCACACGGACACCCAGACCAGGTCCCCTATATTGTCACTTGGGAGGCTCTTATTTCTGATCCTCCCTCGTGGATAAAACCCTTCCTACCCGCCCCGGCGCCCCAACCCCCTACCCCCTTGACCCTTCCATCTGCACCTCAACTCCCGTCCCCGCTCCTTCCGTCCTTGACTCCCCAACCCCAACTCCCTCCTCCTCTCCTCCCCTCTCCAGCTCCCCAACCTCCCTCACATTCCTCACTTTACCCAGCCCTTGTTCCCCTAGAAAGTAAAAAGCAGGTGCCTCCGGAGAAAGGCAGGCCTGCCACCCCAAAGGTTTTGCCACCAGGGGAAGAAGTTCTCCTGGATTTGTTGACGGAAGAACCGCCTCCCTATCAGGGACATGCTCAGCAGCCTCAGGAAGCAGTGGCTGCCGCCCCTCCACCGCCTGCCGACCCTGCACCATCCCCGGTGGCCGGTCGACTCCGCGGACGCCGAGAACAGGTCCCGGACTCTACCTCCACCTCTCAGGCGTTTCCTCTGCGTGCAGGGACGAACGGCCAGCTGCAATATTGGCCCTTTTCGGCCTCAGACTTGTATAATTGGAAAACTAACAACCCTCCCTTTAGCAAAGACCCCTCAAAACTAACCTCTTTAATTGAATCTATCTTAGTGACTCATCAACCCACTTGGGACGATTGCCAGCAACTATTGCAGGTACTGTTGACTACTGAGGAAAAACAGCGTGTTTTCCTCGAAGCTAGGAAGAACGTCCCCGGGGACCACGGGCGTCCCACTCAACTGCCTAATGAGATAGACGCTGCTTTTCCCTTGGAACGGCCCAATTGGGACTTCAATACGGATGCAGGTAGGAACCACCTACGCCTTTACCGCCAGTTGCTAATAGTGGGTCTCCAAGGGGCCGCCCGGCGGCCCACCAATTTGGCGCAGGTAAAGCAAGTAGTTCAGAAAGTAGAGGAGTCGCCTTCGGCTTTTCTTGAGCGTCTTAAGGAGGCATATCGCATTTACACTCCTTACGACCCTGAGGATCCAGGGCAGGCTACGAATGTTGCTATGTCTTTTATTTGGCAATCGGCTCCTGATATCAGAAAGAAGCTAGAGAGGCAGGAGGATCTTCAGACATTGTCCCTCCAGGACTTGCTTAAAGAAGCCGAACGCATTTATAATAAAAGGGAGACTCCAGAAGAAAGGGAGGAAAGGCTGAGAAAAGAAGCTGAAGAAAGAGAAAGTGCACGTGATCGTAAAAGAACAAAGGAGATGAGTAAGTTGTTGGCCACCATAGTATCAGGACAGCAGCAGGAGCAGGGAAGACAGAAGGGAGACAAACCAGGCACCCAATTGGAAAAGGACCAGTGTGCATACTGTAAAGAAAAGGGACATTGGGTGAGGGACTGTCCAAAAAGACTCAGGGGACCTCGGAGACCTAGGCCCCAGACATCCTTGCTAACCTTAGACGACTAGGGGGGTCCAGGCCAGGAGCCCCCCCCTGAGCCTAGGATAACTCTGGAAGTTGGGGGGCAACCCGTCACCTTCCTGGTGGATACGGGGGCCCAACACTCAGTATTAACCACGGCCCCCGGACCCCTGAGTGACCGATCAGCCTGGGTGCAAGGAGCCACTGGAGGGAAGCGGTATCGGTGGACCACCGATCGAAGAGTGCAACTGGCCACCGGTAAGGTAACGCATTCCTTCTTGCATGTTCCCGACTGCCCTTACCCTCTACTGGGAAGAGACTTGTTAACCAAATTAAAGGCACAAATTCATTTTGAGGAGACAGGGGCACGCATTACTGGGCCCAAGGGACAGCCCTTACATGTACTGACCCTCGGAATAGAGGACGAGTACAGGTTGTATGAACAAAAACAGGACAAAGAGGACGCCCACATACGGCCTTGGGTGCGAAAGTTCCCGCAAGCGTGGGCTGAGACGGGAGGCATAGGCTTAGCCGTCCACCAGGCTCCTTTAGTTATCCAACTAAAGGCCACTGCCTCCCCTGTGTCTATAAAACAATACCCGCTGTCCCAAGAGGCCCGTCGGGGAATTCGTCCTCACATAAAGAGACTGTTAGACCAAGGAATACTAACCCCCTGCCAGTCTCCCTGGAATACTCCGCTCCTCCCGGTCAAAAAGCCGGGAACTCAAGATTATAGACCAGTACAGGACTTGAGAGAAGTTAATAGGCGGGTTGAGGACATTCACCCCACGGTCCCTAATCCATACAACCTATTGAGCAGTCTGCCCCCCACTCATATCTGGTATACTGTCTTAGACTTAAAGGACGCGTTTTTCTGCTTAAGAATCCATCCCAGTAGCCAGCCTATTTTTGCCTTTGAATGGAAGGATCCAGAGCTGGGAGTGTCGGGGCAATTGACTTGGACTAGACTGCCCCAGGGGTTTAAAAACAGCCCCACACTATTTGATGAGGCGTTACATCGGGACCTAGCCGACTTCAGAATTCAACATCCCACGTTAATATTGCTCCAGTACGTAGATGATCTCCTGCTGGCAGCCCAGACACAGGAGGACTGCAACTCAGGGACTGAAGATCTCCTGCAGGCCCTGGGTGCCATCGGCTACAGGGCCTCCGCCAAAAAGGCGCAAATTTGTCAGAAGCAAGTAACGTATCTAGGATATCAGATCAAAGACGGGCAGAGGTGGCTGACAGAGTCTCGCAAACGGGCAATTATGGATATTGCCCCACCCCAGAGTCCAAGACAGTTGCGAGAGTTTCTGGGAACAGCTGGATTCTGCCGACTGTGGATTCCCAGCTTCGCGGAGATAGCCGCCCCTCTGTACCCGTTAACAAAACCTGGGACGCTATTTGTCTGGGAAGAGATCCAACAAAAAGCCTTCCAAAACATTAAGGAGGCGCTCTTACACTCCCCGGCTTTAGGGTTGCCAGATCTAACCAAACCTTTTGAGCTGTTTGTAGATGAAAAGCAAGGATATGCAAAAGGAGTCCTGACCCAGAAGCTGGGGCCTTGGAGACGTCCTGTGGCCTATCTCTCCAAAAAGCTGGATCCGGTTGCTTCCGGATGGCCCCCGTGCCTGCGGATGGTTGCGGCGATTGCAGTCCTGGTAAAAGACTCGGGTAAGCTTACCCTAGGCCAGCCACTTGTCATCCTGGCCCCACATGCCGTAGAGGCCCTGGTCAAACAACCACCAGACCGATGGCTCTCTAACGCCCGCATGACCCACTACCAAGCCATGCTCCTAGATAAAGACAGAATACAGTTCGGGCCTGTAGTAACTCTGAACCCCGCTACCCTGCTGCCACAACCGGGGGAGGCGGAGCCCCATGACTGTTTGCAGATCCTGGCCGAAGTACATGGAACTCGACCGGACTTGACCGACCAGCCCCTCCGGGATGCTGATTTCACTTGGTATACAGATGGGAGCAGCTTCTTGGACCATGGTGAGAGGAAGGCCGGAGCTGCTGTCACCACCGAGACTGAGGTAGTTTGGGCGGAGGGACTTCCGCCTGGGACGTCAGCACAGCGTGCCGAGCTGATCGCCCTGACCCATGCACTCAAAATGGCAAAAGGCAAGAGACTTAACGTCTACACCGATAGTCGCTACGCTTTTGCTACGGCCCATGTGCATGGAGAAATCTATCGCAGGCGGGGCTTATTGACCTCAGAGGGAAAGGAAATTAAAAATAAGCCGGAAATTCTGGCCCTATTGGAGGCCTTGTTCTTGCCCCAAAAACTGAGCATTATACACTGTCCGGGACACCAAAAAGGACAAACCTCGGAAGCGAGAGGCAATCGACTGGCTGATAGGGCGGCCCGGGAGGCAGCGCTAGCCGGAACTCCAACCACCCCGGTCCTCCTCCCCATGACAACCAAGCCGCGAACAAAAAGACCCAGTCCGCTCCCCTACAGTCCAGAGGACATGGACGATCTAAAGAAAATGGGGGCCACCTTTGACCCTGAGAGAGGGGCTTGGACTAACGATGGGAAGACTGTTTGGCCAAGAAAGTGGACTCGTCAAATGATAGACCGCCTCCACAAACTAACCCATCTTAGCAACCGGAAAATGAAGACCCTCCTTGAGCGTGAGGAAGGGCTAATGCATCTTCTGGGAAAAGAGGACAGCCTACAAGCAGTGACAGATCAATGCACTATATGTGCCCGTGTCAACGCTGGGAAGACCAAAATAGGGCCAGGAGTGCGGGTACGAGGACAGCGACCTGGGACTCACTGGGAAATCGACTTCACGGAGATTAAGCCTGGACAGTATGGTTACAGATATCTCCTAGTATTTGTGGACACCTTCTCAGGCTGGGTAGAGGCTTTCCCTACCAAACATGAAACCTCCAGAGTGGTAACAAAAAAGCTGATGGAAGAAATTTTTCCCCGATATGGTATGCCACAGGTATTAGGGACTGATAATGGGCCTGCGTTCGTCTCCCAGGTAAGTCAGTTGGTGGCCAAACTGTTGGGGATTGATTGGAAATTACACTGTGCTTACAGACCCCAGAGCTCAGGGCAGGTAGAAAGAATGAATAGAACGATTAAGGAGACTTTAACCAAATTAACACTTGCAACTGGCTCAAAGGACTGGGTGTTCCTCCTGCCCCTTGCCCTTTACCGCGCTCGCAATACCCCTGGCCCCCATGGCCTCACCCCTTTTGAAATCTTGTACGGAGCTCCCCCGCCGGCTGTCAATTTTCTTGACCCTCATATATCTGACTATGCTAATAGCCCTTCTTTACAAGCTCACTTGCAGGCACTTCAGATTGTCCAGCGTGAAGTCTGGAGGCCTCTTGCGGCAGTGTACCAGGATCAACAAAACGACCCTGTCGTGCCTCATCGTTTCCAGATAGGAGATTCTGTGTGGGTCCGACGCCATCAGACCAAAAACTTGGAACCACGGTGGAAAGGACCATACATCGTTCTCCTCACCACTCCTACAGCCGTAAAAGTGGACGGAATCGCCGCCTGGATCCACGCGTCCCACGTCAAGGCCGCCCGGACCCCGGAAGAGACCTCAACAAACCCGGACTGGAAAGTGCAGCGCACTCAAAATCCCTTAAAGATAAGACTTACGCGAAAATGATTTCCTTTGCTTCCCTTGCTTACTTGCTATTCCTATCCCTCTTGAGTGTTGCCTCTCCCAATCCCCACCAGCCCGTGCGACAGACCTGGCAGATTTTGTCTGGCACAGCGGATGTAGTCTGGCAGATCAGCTCCGACCGCCATCCGTGGGGAGCTTGGTGGCCAGATCTAACCCCAGATGTTTGCCAATTAGTAGCCGGATCGCCCCGCCCCTGGGACCTGCCCGGTTTCACCTTTGATAAACTCCCGGTAAAAGACTGCTCGGGCATACCCAATATGGGGGGCTTTAATGCAGGATGCTGTTCCCCGGACAAAAGGACAAGTTTAGCCAAGGTTGATTTTTATGTTTGCCCTCGAGAAGGTAGAGCAACATCTAACCAGTGTGGACAGGAGAGTGACTACTTTTGTGCCTCTTGGGGTTGTGAGACCACGGGTGATGCATATTGGAACCCAAGTTCCACTTGGGACCTGATTAATGTAAAAAAAGGACGGCCCTGGGGTACTTCATGCTACTTCAAAAGTACGTGCCTGCCTTTAAAAATATCCTTTACAGACAGAGGAAGAGCTTTACTTCCTGCCCTATGGATGGCAGGCAGACAGTGGGGTATTAGATGGCATACAATTGGATCTGGACCCTATGGAGTGACATTCCAAATCAGGCTACGCAGGCAAACAATAACACCCATCCTGCCAATCGGGCCCAACCCAGTTTTATCAAAACCCAGGGTCCTCACTGCTAGAAATCCTCCACAAACCCCCTTGCTCAGTGCCCCCGTTCCGCCCCCTTTTGCGACCAGTTCCCCCTACCTATCCGCCTCAATGCCGGTCCTGGCCGCATCAGAGGCAGGGGAAAGACTCATTGACCTTGTAAAGGGAGCATATACTGCTTTAAATTATTCTGATCCCAGTCGCACCGAGAGCTGTTGGCTATGTCTGGTCTCCAATCCTCCATACTATGAAGGCATTGCTGTAAAAGCCAATTTTTCCATCCACTCCAACCCCCCTTCCATCTGTAATTCACTGCCTTCCCACCAGCTGACTCTCCCAGAAGTATCTGAGAGCGGGACTTGTTTAGGTAATATCCCCCCTTCCCATCAAAGACTGTGCAATAACAATCAGGCTGTATCCCCTGGATCCCATTACTTGGTTCCCCAAACTGGGCTCTATTGGGCTTGCAATACAGGCCTAACCCCCTGTGTGTCGACAGCTATTTTTAACCAAAGTAAGGATTATTGTGTATTAGTACAGATTTGGCCTCGCATCACTTACCATCCTGACAGCGTTGTCCTCCAATACTTTGACCGACCAACTCATAGAGGCAAAAGGGAGCTCGTGTCTATTACATTGGCTGTCCTTCTAGGTATAGGAGGGATATCGGCTGGGATTGCCACAGGAACCACCGCCCTGACAAGAGTGGATTACTATTCAGACCTCCAGCAAGCCATGAATAACGACTTAAAGACTTTGGCAAACACCGTCCAAACACTAACGGACTCGGTAAACTCCTTAGCTGAAGTAGTCCTTCAAAATCGAAGGGGATTGGACTTACTGTTCTTAAAGGAAGGGGGCTTATGTGTAGCCTTAAGGGAAAAATGTTGTTTTTATGTCAATAAGACAGGAGTAATAATCAAGTCCCTAGATAAACTTAAAGAAAGACTAAACAATAGACAGCGAGAATTTGAGTCTCAACAAACTTGGTATGAAGGGTTGTGGAACAAGTCTCCGTGGTTTACTACCCTGATATCCTCATTAATGGGACCATTAATACTCCTCATGTTAATCCTTACTGTGGGCCCCTGCATCATCAATCGCCTAATACAATTTATAAAGGACCGCCTATCGGTCGTACAGGCCCTAGTATTAACCCAACAATACCACCAACTTAAATTGACGGAGGAATCTCCAGTTGAATGAAGGATTTCATTCATACAAAAAGAAAATGGGGGAATGAAAGACCCCAGACGCTCCTCCCGAAGCCCCTATTGAGCCCAGCAAAAGATTAAAAATTAAAGTTAAAATTATTATATTATACAATTGCTAACTGCTGGTTTTGCTTCTGTAAACTTGCTTGCGCTAACACTAACCCTTCCCCTCCCTGGAGATAAGTGCAGGCCGCTAACCAGGAAACGAAACCTCGAGCCTCTGAGTCACCGCCGGCAGACCCTAGCATGACCCTAGTACATGCCTTAAAACCAGGCATTCCGGTAAAAAAAAAGCCGACCACCACATTCCTTCCCGTAAAACTCAGCCTTAATGTTAGGGTGAGGCAGGATGTAGTAAATCACTTGTCAAAATCAGGGAACGAACAGTTTCGGTGCATAACGACCCGCACGGACTTGTCCGGGCAAGTACCAACACGTCAGCCTTCCCCCAACCCCACCTACCCCATCTGGCTAGCTTAACCTGACCAATCCCCACCCTGAACGTAATTTGAAATTAACCAATCATCCCCCTGTAACCACGCATCTCGCTTCTGTAACCTCGCCTCTGCTGTCCATAAAAAGAGGGTGCTTTCAAGCACTCGGCGCGCAAGTCTCCCGATAGGCTTTGTCGCCCCGGGTACCCGTGTAACCGGTTCTCAGACACTCAACCCGAACCTTGTGGATCTCGAGGTTGAGTGCACCTGGGAGCCGAGGGCTTGCCCGAATAAACCTCTTGCTGTTTGCATCCGCACAAGTGGTCTCGTTGTTCCTTGGGGAAGGGTCTCTTCAGATTGAAGGACACCCCACGCCGCCGGGGGTCTTTCAAAAAAACGTATTAAAAAAAAATCAGGACACAGAGGCACAGCTATGGTCTCAGGGATCACTCAGAGCTGGAGTCTGGAACTGAAGTGACTGTTGCCTGAGAACCAGAGGTCAGGGTTTGCACTCATTTTTCCAGATGATGAAGACAGGGGCAGGGTGACGTCCCTCTCTTGACCTCCATTTTCCTTTCCAAGCTGAAGACAGGTGTGGCGGTGAGGACAACAGGTAGAGGAGGGCAGAGTACCAGCGCTTTCCCCCCCCCCCCCCCCAGCCCGGCTGCCTGGGCCAAAGCCAGCGTGTGGCAACAGCCCCACAGTGCCTTCCCCCTTTAGGTGTGGGTCCACTCTGTGCAGAAGACCACCTGCATGCCTGTCCTGAGCCTCCTGCCTCACACACAGGTGGAGGTAGAGTCTGAGGTGTGTAGTGGAGGTGACAAGGAACTTTGCTGGGAGCCAACCCTTTAGCCATTGTACAGACAGGGTGTGGTAGCCATTCCTGTAATCTCAGCTTCTTGGGAGGTGGTGATGGGAAGGATCACAATTCAAGGCCAGTCCGGGCAAAAAGTTCATGAGATCCTCCCCTCTCAACCAATAGTCAGGCAAGGTTCAACAAGTCCCTGCCTAGGATCACAGAGAATGAGCGGCTCAGGTAGAGGATCGTGGTCTAAAGCCAGCCCCTAGGGGCTAAACGCAAGATCCTATCTGAAAAATAACGAAAGCTAACTGGGCTGGCAGCGTGGCTGATAACCTCAGGGATCTGAGTTCAAGCCACACAGTACTGGCTAAAAGAACAAAAAATGAAAGATAGAAAACAAAGTCCCCAGAAACATGCTCTAAGGATAAAATACACATTGGATTTTGAAGACTTGGTGTGAAGAAAATATGATACCTCACTAATATTTTGGCCCTGATTATTTATGGAAATTATATTTGGAGTATAGCTGATTAAATGAAACATTATAATGAGCTTTATCTGTTTCTTGGTTTTTGTTTTTTGAAGTAGCTACTAGAATGCTGGAAAGAGCCATAAGTGGCTGACACAATACTTCTTTAGGGCAATGCTAGTCTTTAAGAGAGGCCCAGGAGAGCTCATCTGGACCCTTCAGCTCCACCCTGGCCGGAGGTGCAAATGTGCTGAGGCTGCCTGTGGGAGGCTGGGGCATGATAAGCCCCCAGGGATGGCCAGCGTCCATCGGGACCCAGCACTCTGGCAGTTCCATTCATCTCTCTTCCCACCTCCATTTTCTATTTCCAGAGCGCCAAGGCCAACTCCCCACCTCATTTACCTGCAGATTGTCCCCACGGAGCCTGGGGCCCTCCACCGCGCTGCCCTCACCACCGGCACTGAGACCCCTCCAGGGTCCCTCCTGAGCGGTGCCAGCACTGGGGATTGAACTCAGGGCCTGGGCGCTGTTCCTGAGCTTTTTTACTCAAGGCTAGTGCTCTACCGTTTGAGCCACAGCTCTATCTCCAGCTAGTGCACTTTCCTGCCCAGGCTCCCTTCAAATTGCAGTCCTCAGATCTCAGCCTCTGGAGAAGCTAGGATTATAGACGTGAGCCACCACACCCCCCCTGACTGCCACAGGTCAGTTCTGCCAGTGCCTGGGCTGTGCACCGCTCCTGCAATGGTGCCAGACCCTGCAGGGAAAGTACTGGAGAGCTGGTGGAAGGAAGTGTGGCTAGGGGAGGAGCCCAAAGGTCTTGCAGGAAGAGGTGGGGCTTGAGCTGGGCCCCAGGACAAGTAGATGCACAACCAGGAGGAAAACAGTATGGCCAGCAAAGGGAACGGTAGCTGCACAAGCATGGAGCGCTCTGCTCTCCATCGGTCCTGAGAGAAGAAAGGAAGGTCCCGGTGGCTGTAGCTCAGAAATCGGGGGTAACGGCAGGAGGTGGGAGGGAAATGGATGGTGTCCAAACAGAAGCGTGTTCTCTCTGCCGCTGGACAGGGATGGAAGGAGGCAGAGCCTCTCACAGGGCAGCAACGGCCGCTTCCTAGTCACGTGACTATGTAACCTGGGCCAGATGACCTACTTCCTTTATCTTTCAGTTTCCTTATCTGTAAAGTCCAGATCGCAGGAGTGATTCACTGGGGATTTTTCTTTTTTTTTTTTTTTGACAAAGGCTGGTGGTGTGCTTGGCACCAAGTAGGTCTGTAAATGTTCTTTCCGTGTCTCCTTCCCGAAAGCCCCTCTCTGCTAGCACGCGCCAGGCCCCCCTCTCCCCAGGCAGCAGGAAGCAGATCTGGGTGCTCTTCCGTC